ATATATATATATATATATGTTTAAAATTTCTTTATAGAAAAGTTATAGTGAGCATGAATTGTATTTTATTCATATTTTGTTCTTTTTAAAAATAAAATAAAATATGACAAATCATATTATTTTATTTATAATTTTTCGACACTCCTTATAAAATTTTTTGTGTATGTCACAATCTCCTAGTATACTTACACATTCATCTAATTAAAGTATTCTCATTAATTTTCACTACCTTTATCTTTTAATTGTGTGCGTTTTTTATAAGTCAACACTCTGTTTCACACAACAATATAATATTAGTTTAACCATCACTCTATGAAACTTATCTTTAGGCTTTGACGACATGTTCTTATAACGCATTATCTTAAATGCGAGCATCCATTTCATTCGTCAGGCTTCAATATGATATACAACGTCAATCTCCCTGTAATCCATGTTACAAATTATTTATTAAGGTTTATCAGAAGGCATTAAATTGGGATATTTAAAATGTATATACATTTTTTATTTTTCGGTTGATTATATTACGGAAGCATGTTAAACTAGTCTACCTTTGCCTAAAAATCACCCTCATTTCTTTCAATAGAAAAAAAATTAATAAATTCAAAGCCCCACGAAATTATTACTTGCTATAACAGTACTAAAACGATAGCAAATGTTAAAATTTTTGATGGCCCCCATGCATGTTACCACTTATATTTGAAAAAAATTAAATTAATTACGAAATCGTGAAATTATTTTAAGATTGATATTAACAAGCTAACGACCAGTCTTGCTTAATTAGTTGCTTCAAGAAAAAACAATTACTCTTCTCTCTTTGAAGTCAATATTTTAGGTTAAATTTGATGTGCGAAAAATGCCTTGCAATATATTTAAAGGACTATTTTGAGTCAAAACAATGTTCATTCATTAATCGAATATGTATCTTGTTTGGGATAAGTTGATTCACCACTTTATAAAAATATTTTCATTATTCGAATCATGATTTAGCTTATTCTAATGAAAATATCAAATATAAAATATAATTTAAATTAAAAAAATACCCTTAATAAAAGTGGATTGATTATTTTTTCTTAAATATCAAGATTTTTTTAATCTTCAAGAAATTCTTTTAGAACAATTTTTTTTTGAACTAGTCCAATATATAGTTATTATTATAAAATATGGGAACGAGTTCAGGTTTCTTGGAATATATTTTCTTGATTTTCTCGTCATCGATAATTTTGTTTCTAAAAAAAATAATATTTTGACTTATTCTCGAATGGTGGATATATTGTTGAGAAGTTGTTAGATGGAATTTATTTTGATTTTTTTTTCTAGATTATGCATATATTAAAATAATAGTAAGAGTAGGGCTGCTTTAAAAGTTTTTTTTTTCCCTTCAATATTTGTTCAATCAAATCTAAACAAGAAAATCTCTTGAATGAATAAACTACTACAAAGGACATAATGTATTGAGAATGACCAACGAATTTAAATCGAGTAATAAATATTTTTTTATTTTTAATATAATATTTTAGATTAAGGCCTTTGAGTATAGACTATCAGAAATATTTTATATTTATAAATTGTTTTGATATTAATATAATTTAATTGAATTTTAATATTAATAGTAAACGCTCCGACGATCGAAAACAAACTGTATTGGAAATGAATATCAATTGACAGAAAGGAAATATTAAATTATTTGTGCTACGAAATTGACCAATATATAAAAACATTTGCAGCTCTTTCTAGAAAAAGAAAAAGGAAATTTAAGAAATGGGCTGTGTTAAACCAATGGCTCAATAACATTTATTGCAACAAAATTAAGAAATGTGTCTATGGCCATCTCCTCAAAATATTAATAAGATATACTTTGTTTCTATTTATTTGTTTATATTTTTTTAGATATTTTTATTTATTTGTCTATTTTGACAAATTAGGAATATTTTTATTATTATATTTTTATTTAAATTTATTAAAAAATGTTAAGTTTTAATTCATCTTTTTTGAAATCATATTTAATAAGAGTAGAATTGTAACTTTCCTATGTTAATTATTGTTATCTTAATATGTCTGTCTTTTCTTGAACAATTAAATAGGGACAAAGGAAGTAAGAAGAAAAAAAAGGCACAAAGGAAAAATGTCAACTCATAATAATTAATACGATTTGAGACAATTTAATATAAAAAAAAATGCTCCCTCCGTTCGGAATTGTTTGTTATGTTGCGCTTATTGAAAGTCAAATTTATTAATTTTTAAAGGTAAATTAGATCACATTAATTCGATATTTTAAATAAAAAAAATTAGATATTTAAAAATTATGAAAAGTACTATAAATTACAATTTTTTGCATATTAATATGATGATAAAATATAATCAAATTTTTTATAATTTAACTTTAAAAATAGAAATTATGAAAAATAATATTGGAGTAAAGGAGTAAAATTTAAGATTTAAATAAACAAAGTTTAAGAGGGGTTATTCTATTCGGACCAGTCAATTTATTTTAATGATTAATTTGTGTGGACTACGTTAATATGGATAAAATAATGTTATATGCCACATAATTTTTTGTTGAACAAATTTCATAGTAAATTAATTTTATAGTGTAGCATAAAATTGCGTATAATATCTTTTTTAGTGTATTGAATTTATTTTGTTCTCCATGTTCTTTCTCTTAGAATCATCTTTTTCTGAAAAAAAAAGAAAAAAGAAAGACCAAAAATTTTGAGTTTCAATCCAAAACTTTAATGTAATAATTGAAACCGACCCCATCACTATGGTCTTTAACAAAAAAATAATTAAATTAGAATCAATTCCATTTCTTTTAATTGTTTATTATTTTTATAACAAAATTTTATTTTAGTCTTTATTTTTATTAATTATTTTAACAAATCAAGAAAAAGTTCATTATTATTTTCTTCATATTTTTTTATATTAAAAATTATACTTATTTCACAAATACCAACAAAAGGCTTCATATTTATTGCAGATATAATTAAGTGAAGGCATTTTTAAGAGAAAATATACAAAACAATAGTTGTTTGATACGCTACTATTCCATCCCATCTTAATTATTTATCTACTTTTAAATTGATACATTGTATATTTATTATAAAAATAAATATTAACTTTATCATTCTATTATTTCTTAAACACATGATTAATAAGTGTATATATATCACGACACAAACACACTTGACAAAATGGTTTTTAAATGTGATCCATTCACGGTATTCTTGAAGATATCCAAATAATGAGAGACTCGTGAAATTTTGAAAATATGACATGCATCTTCTTTTCACATTGTAATTGTATTTGTACACTAAAATTAAACAACTTGGAAGCCCTAAGAGACTGATTTGAAGGATATGGTATTTTCTTTGTTCAATATTAGTTGGTTATTGGCCTAAATAATTCGAATTCTCGCCCCCGCTAAGGGAATGGGAAAGCAGTCTCTTCTGATTAAGGATGGAGGAATTCTAAAATCTGAAATTGACGGTTGTTACATTAGTTCATTTTGTGGATGAAAGCTAGCACAACAAAAAACAGGTATATTTCTTTGCCCCATGTTTTACTTTTTGTAGTTTCACTCTGTGTGTAATGATCTTGCTATTTGTTGTCATGTTATCTTACAACCATGCTTCGATTTCTTTTCTTGTCTATGTGTACGTTTTGTTTTACCTTCTTCTGACTCCACTTCTTGAAACTACACATAAAGTATGTTGTTGTGGATCATTGGTGATTCTACTATGCCATAAAAAAGAGTCACATATACCAAATAACCAAAAACTCAACAATGGATTTATAGGAATATATTGTTACAGCCAAAAATTTCAACCATCAGCAGATTCAACTGCTATCTTTTTTCCCTTTACAGCTTAAATAATACTCAAGCTTACTAAAGGGCTTTTTACAATAAATCATAAGACTTCACAAGAACTTTGGTATATACTGTAAGCTAGAAATGAACCTAAAGAATAAAGCCATCCTCATAACTTTGCTAAAAATAATCGCAGAAATAAGAGGGGGTATATATCTAGATGCTCGGGCGACAAACAACTATGTACACAAACTAATGACTTCACCGGGGATGAGAACTACTTAAAAGGGAACAGAACTCAGGGGACGCGAACCATTAGGCATCAGAGTACGCATCTTTATGTTCCCCTTCACCAGTGCACTTTGGTTGATCAGAATCACCATCATCAGACTCTGACTGTGGGGTTATACTGCTTACCGTGCGAAGAAGTTGACAAGGATTTGAAGAATTTTGGGAGCACCAATTATCTGGAACACTTAAGAAATGTGTGTCAATGAACTTCCTAAACCTCTTATAATACTCTTTCGGAGATACGATAGTAGGAAGCTGATTCTTTGGAACCACTAGTGAAGATTTGACCCAATTCTCGAGTTGTTTGTCCCATGTATATTGTCTGAGATAGTCAATGATGCCACAAACAAGTTCATGGCGTTGGCTATCCACTCCCACAAGTAGAGAATAGTCCATCACATTGATTGACTGCAAAAATCAACAAATACTACCAGTTTTAGAGGATAATCCATTAGCTTCAGATAATGCATTTCAATTAGATTGCCAAAAAAAGGAAAATTGCATTCTTTTTGAAACCGACTAAAAAAGGAAAATAAGACGACCAAATTGAAAGGGAGGGAGTAATAATTATAAGCAGAAGTGACTTTTTTTTTTGGATGCTTTTAAGTTTTGGTGGATAGAGCTACGGGTAATTAGAGTTAGAGCAGTTTGACCCCTGACTTACCTTGAGGAAAGTACAGTCATTCCATACAGCCCGTTGCAAAGCCCTCTTTGATCTTGTCCCGACATATAAAGGAGAAACATTCATGTCATTCACAAAGTTTTGGTCTAAAAGAACGTCTCCTGCACCATTGCCAGCTGCACTAAATCGAGCATGCAAAGCTCCTTTCAGATCATACTGCCGAGTAGTAATTCTACCAAATGAAAGGTTCTCCATCACCATGAGATCGTGCCTAGTCTCTTTTCCACCTCTTGGCCTTACATTGACCTGAAAAACATAAAACAGTTGGAACACTCAAAAAGATGTCCAGAGTGTGCTGGCAGGAAAAAAAATATATTGTGGTAACAGCCAGAAAAGTGGAGTGACTAAAGTCGATTAATCAACCTGATAAATGCCAAGAATTTTTGCAAGGCACGTTTGATTCCTCTTAGCATGGCACTGATCCATGTATGCAAAATAACTAGGAGCAAACTTCAAGAACGAGTCAAATTCCGCTCTCTTAATTTCCTTGATGATAAACCGATCATCAACTGTTTTGGCAAACAAAGAGTTACTTTTGCCACCTTTTGCATCCCATCTCCTACACCTACTCAAGGAAGCAATAAAATCAACTTCTGAAGTGCACCATCGATCTCGCAATTGACGAAATTGGCTGGCATAGAGACAGAGGACTGAGTATTTATACTTCCCAGTCAATTTACCCAAACCCATGGAGACTTCCGCCTGAACAGCCGTGAAAGAAACCGATGAATCTAGCAAATCTACCCCATCTAAACTTGATGAGCGTGCTACCTCCGACATGTTCGAAGAGTGATACGCTGTTAAATCCAATGAACCAGTTGAAGACAAATGTGGAGAAGCTAGAGAGAACATCTGCATTAAGCCTTGTGAACTCTCATACGACTTAGGATCAATTCCTCTATCTTTTCTGCCATCATCCCCAAGATCTTCACATACAATAGGCAAATCCTTCAGCAAGGCCAAAGCACAGGCAATTATGCTGGAAAATTCATCTTCATAATCAGAAACAATGTATTTATCACTTCCAAGGGGAATGTGAAGCTTCGCACTCATGTCAGTAATAAGTTTATAAGCAGTAGATTCTACATCATGGTTTGTGATAGATCCTAATTTTGGTAAGTGACCTCTCTGGAGATCCTCCATGTATTGACACCAAATTTCAGGGAATGGAGTCCACCACCCCTCATCATTCTCTATGTTGGAAAATATTGAGGAGAGAGATCTACTCCTTTGAGAATGAATAGGATCAGGCGTACCTCCAGCACCAATGGCAATTGGTTTATCTGTCTCCAATTGAATGGATGAAGGAAGATTGAGCTGTAAGTTACTTTCATTATCAAAAAGGCAGTGATCAGAGAGATCAGATTTCACTGTAATATCCTGAAGGGAAAAGTCGTTTCCATTTACTTTGGCTGCAGTTGTCACCTCGGCACCATCATTGCAAGCAGATAAATTTGATGGTTCATCTTGTCCACAATCATGTGTATCAACGGGAGTTTCTTTAATGGGAACTTTAGCAGATGATTCAACATTCGGTTTCAAATCACAGTCATCATCCAAAACATCACCACGACTGCCTACAGTAGCTTCTGTCCTACTGTTATCATCTCCGCAAGAGTCTTCAACTAGCTTGATTTTCAGATCCGGACAATCTTCCAATGCTCTGTCATCTCTTTCCAGATAAACTTTAGTGTGTCCATTAACATTGCTTCCCTCTTGTTGTTCCATGTGGTTAATAGCAATGATACTCTTGTCAATAGTTTTTGGATTGGCAGCGGTACAATCAGATGATAGTAATGAATGAAGACGGCGATCCCACACACAGGACTCCAGCAAAAGCTCCAACCGTATTCTATTCAAAATTAGAAGTTTATACATGACGACATCCCGATTGCCATCCATAATGACATTTTGAATACCAATCTGACATTGAATCCACAGATTAGTAATAGTAAAATAAGATTTACATTATGCTTTAATAAATGTCTGGACCAAATAAATAGTAAATGAGTTCAATGAAAAAAGGCAATAGGTTTGGATATAGCTTCCCATCCACACATGCACATAAATGCATTTATTGACTTATACCTTAACGTTGATTCTCATTAACCAGAAAATCAGAAAGCTATCAACTCTTAAAGCATGTGCTTGTATGTATCTGATATCTATTAATATTATTATACCGTAGAAAAAAATGAACCAACTGATCTGATTAATCTAAAGGGAACTTAGAACTAGAATGACAGTCCACCACATCGACTTTGATCAAATAGAATGTAACGGGAACAATCAATCTGAAACTGGAAGCAAAAAGAGCTAACCTCAAATTGAGTTCTCTCTTCCTTCAACATTTTCTCAATTTCAGAAAATTTCCTAATTGATCCTTGAAGATTTAGAGTAGTTCCAACAAATCGAGACTCTATTGCCTTCAAAGCTTTTTCTACATCACAAAACATCTTAATCCCTTTCATGTTCACCTAGTTGAGAAAGAAAAAAAAATTCTCTGTCAATATAGAAACTTGCAACAGGGCATGTAACTTCTATGTTCAGCCAAGTATTTAAAAGCATCAATTGGGTAAAAAGCAGTTGCACTTGTAAAAAGACATACATCTTCAAAATCCTTCTTAAGAAATTCTTCATTGACAGAACTGCTAAATTCCAGCTTTTCTGGAGGAAGAGCCACGGAGTAAGTAGTAACAGTTGAGTACTTAAACACCGCAACCATATGCCCTAACCTGTACATGCAGAAAATGACATGAATATCTTCAAAAAGGAAAAGTAAAATATGAGAAAACACCAATTCCAAATCCATGCAGAGTCACTAATAGCAAACGATACAACTTAAATCTCGAGTAATGTCAAATGGAAATTTTTATAATAGATAGCAAAAGCTATCAGTAGGCTTTGCTATTAGATCTGCATACATGAAAATAAATAGAGACTTCGGAATAACTAAAGATAGCCACAAGTGACCATACCCAAAGAAGTAGAGGAAATCCCTGTGCAAAGAATGGCCACAGACAGGTAGCCTATTGAACAAAGAAGAATTTGAGAACCTGAGCTCCAAAAATTTTCCAAATGAGAAACCACGTGAACCAGTGGATACTAAAACTCTTTTCGTAGATTTTGAGCTGCCACTCTGGAACTTGCATCTACCACAACGACTCCACATCCAAATCTTACCTTCCCTTTCACCTGGAAGCCCCTTGTCTTTTGGAAGAGAACGAACTTGAATTGCAAGTAACTTATTGTAATGTGCATAATAGAAAATGTGAGCTTCAGGAGGTCCATCACAGCTCTTGCATGGGAGTTTCTGTATGACAGGGCTTTAAGGTTAACATTTAAAACAAACTCCAGTGTAACTGATAATGATAAGGCCACAATTTTATTTCAAATAGATCATTATAGCAACTATTAATGATGAAATCAGCAAAATGACCACCAATCATTCCAAAGAAAATTGTTCATCATATTGCAACTACAGAGACAGAACAAGAAGAGCTGAACTGGAGACTATTGAGTTCTACGCACCTGACTTAGCAAATTTTGCTGCAAAAAGCTTCCAAGCGGAATATCAAAATTTTGGTAGAACTTAATGCGAGAAAAATGACCATGTGCACACATAGTCCCTTTTGAAGCATTACGGCTTGATATCAGAACCAATATACTCTCAGTATCCATAGATTTAACGCCATTACCCATATTACCAGATACCTGTGATTCTAAAGATTCTCCCTGGCTCACTATTGGAGTATG